AGAAGATTTTTAAAGATTTTTCCTATATATTCCTATGTAAAAGTTTGATCGGCTATTTTGGCCCCACCTTACCCCGGGGGTCATGATTTGAACAAACTTGAATCTACACTATATGAGGATGATTCCACATGAGTTTCATCTTCCCTGGCCCAGTGGTTCTTGAGATTTTTAAAGATTTTTCCTATATATTCCTATGTAAAACTTTGGTCGGCCATTATGGCCCCACCTTAGTACTCGCCGGTCTTGATTCGAACAAACTTGAATCTACACTACCTGAGGATGATTCCATATGAGTTTCATTTTTCCTGGCCCAGAGGTTCTTGAGAAGAAGATTTTTAAAGATTTTTCCTATATATTCCTATGTAAAACTTTGATTGGCCATTTTTGCCCCCACCCTACCCCCGGGGGTCATGCTTTGAACAAACTTGAATCTACACTACCTGAGGATGCTTCCACATGAGTTTCATCTTTCCTGGCCCAGTGGTTCTTGAGTAGAAGATTTTTTAAAAATGCCATTAATTTTTCTCTTATTCATAATTATCTCCCCTTGGAAAAGGGCGTGGCCCTTCGTTTGAACAAACTTGAATCCCCTTAACCCAAGGATACTTTGTGGCAAGTTTGGTTGAAATTGGCCCAGTGGTTCTTGAGAAGATGAAAATGTGAAAAGTTTACAACGACAACGACGACTGACAACGGACAAATTTTGATCAGAAAAGCTCACTTGAGCCTTCTGCTCAGGTGAGCTAAAAAGCGCTTCATGTAAATTTTAAATAAACATTTGAGGAGGGACACATGTAGGTGGGGGTTAAGATAATTTCTCTGCACTAAGTTGCAGGTTTTGTTGCGTAGGAATATTTAAGTTTTAAAAAAATAAATATATATGTATATTTGATTGGGTATCGTTATCTGGGTAAATGATTTGAAGTCGCGAACAAAATTGTAAAATTGGTTTCATGTAGAAAACTGATCTATCAATATCTTTACAAGCAGAAGCTTAGGAGATGGAGGGATTGACTCAAAGACGATGATTTCAACATTTTCCTCGTTTTATTTATTCTCATATTTAGATACAGTGAAAAGAAATAGGATTATACTTTAATTTAAAGACTTTTAAAATTTCTTATCGAAAATATCTCGAAAATACAGGAGCTTTGGCCTATTAGGGCTTCGACCTGGACCAACTTTGGACCAGACCCCTTACCTAGTTGTATGCCCAACTTTAACTCGATCATTCCAAATGATGTTTCTGATCCACTCCGCTCTACATAAACGTGTCTATATATATACATATATGATTGAAAATTCTCGAACAGGACGTGATCAACATATTTATTTTAAAAGGTATTAATTATAGTTACTTATTTCAATTAACTTGTACCGTATAAAGACCAGAAGTCTCTGTCGAGACTGTAGCTCTACTGGTTTGATTGAACAGGCAGAAACGAGGTGGGGGGTATTTAAAAGTCTGGCATTTTGAGATTCAATTTAAATTCTCATGTAGTTCTCTATGCAAATCAGTTGATCATATACCAATACAAATACCCCAAAGTAGTCATTAATGATTGAGTTATTTTTAATGCTCTGTAAACGTAGTTTCTGGATGCATAGTTTTTATCAACTCTGTCTGTTTGTTTGACCACAAAAACTTTAACCTTGCCCATAATATTGATTTAGGGAGTTATAACTTTTATATTTCACATGTGTATTCCTTGTGACAAGATCTTTCTTAGGGTATGACCAAATTTGAATTTTTGACCTTGACATTGGAGATGGACCCATTTTTACACATTTTGAACAGTAGATACCAGGACTTTTATACTTCATATATGTACATGTATTCTATGTGGAATACCAACAACTTTTACCTTTTGACCTTGACGATTCACTATTTAAGAAAATAACTTTTGAATGGTAAGGGCTAGTGCTTTCATACTTTATATATGTTATCCTTACGAGAAGACCCTTTATCGGATACCAAGAACTTTGACCTTTTGACCTTCTTTTTAAAATTTTTAACCTTAGCCATAACTTTTGAACAGTTAGGGCTTCCAAACTTGAAATATACAATGTATATTCTTTGTGGCAAGACCTTTCACTGGATACCAATTACCTTAATCTTGGAGATTTTCATACTTATGAAAAAAACACCTTGGCCTATTTTCATATTCAACAATTGTTTTTCTTGTGAGAATACCCTACTTTAGGTATTAATACCGGTTTATTAAATTTGCAATTAAAAGTAGTTTAATCTTTACTATGTTGCAATATAGGGACATCATTGTCTCAAAAACACATCTTGTTTAAATTTCTCCTGTAGACATTTTTATATACAAGCTTGCAATGAGAGAAGACATAAGACCAAATGAATGTTGTTAAATTTATATATTCTGATTTTAGGTACAAGAAATATATAAGTACTAAAAAATCAGTTTTGTTATCATTATAAGCATAATTGTAAAGAATTCAACATTACACATTATAGCTCTGATATTGATAGTCCTTATTAAACAAAACTTGTATAATATTAATTGACAGAACAGTTTGGAAGTATGAATACATTCAATCTTCAACATTTAATTATATACTTAAACATCTGATTCAATTAAGGTCGTTTAAAGCAATTGCTAATTAAACGCATTTAATTGATTTCCGAAAAACACAGGGGGTAGGTCTTTTGACACTTTCCCCCGATTGCCGCGAGTATAAAAGAGGGGCGCACGTGGCGTTTTCCTCCTCTTGCTCGATAGCTTTCCCAGCGTTTCTGCACTTTTGATAGTTGTACTTAAAGCCTCCGAGAGCGGTTCAGCAAAAATCAAAAAATCATGCCACCCATTAGAGCCAGAAAGGCCCAAGCCACTGCCAAGTCCACCAAGGCAAGCAGGCGGACCAAGGGAGCCAGGCGGCAGCAGGACAGAGGGGGGAGGAGAAACCTAACCGCTGTCCACCACGCCGACACCAGCTGCAGGGCAGCCCCTGAGACCGAGGGGATTGGTACAAGTACCCAGGGCTGGGAGGAAAATATTCAAGCCTCCACGGGAATGGCGGAGGAGCATGTGCCGCTCGGTACCAACCATACGGGTAGGCAATTAGATTTCTCTACTTCGTGGCCTGTCCCGGAGGAAGCTGCCCTGTCAACGGCAGACAATTTCGGGGCGATGCCAAACATGGTGGTTTGCGCTGGGGACGATATAGGTGCCCATGTTCCAATGGCTTTAAAACAAAAAATTTGGGCGGGGAACTATATAAACTTAGCCCTGCTTACAAAGGGAAGCGCTGAACTGCAGCAGTTCGCTGCGGGTAGTAATTTTGTCTTAAATGAAAAGGGGGAACTCGAGGCTAAGCCCAAAGTTTTGAATGAGAAGATAACAACCATCGATAGATGGTCTGATGCTTTTCTGTTATATATGCACATATATATTCAAAGGCACCCAGTGAGGGCAGCCGAATTGGTTCAATATATGTTTGTCATTCGCGATGCAGCGAGGAAATTTCCGGGCATGGGATGGAGAAATTACGACGAGCAATTTAGAGTTCGTCAAGCAATATCTTACCAAAATTGGGCAAAATTAAATCCTGATTTATGGCTACGTTTGATCGCTGTCCCACCCAGGCCGGAACCTAGCCTCGCTGCATCGCACACACCAAACCAAACTGGTGTATGCTTTGGTTACAATAGAGGTCGTTGCATTACAGCCAATTGCAAATTTGCGCATCTATGTTCTCTTTGTAAGGGAAAGCACCCAAAATCGAGTTGTGCAAAAAATGATACTTTTCGTACCTCAAGAGCCTCAAACAGCACCGCTGCAACCAATAAAGGTCAAAAACTTTAAATTAGCAAATTCCCCTATAAACACTGCAGTTTTAAAAATTTTTCTTACAAATTATCCGAATTTAGAAATAGCAAAAGAACTTATGAATGGTTTTCAATTTGGTTTTCGATTGCATTACCGGGGTCCTCGGGAAAAAACAGAAGCACCTAATTTGCCCTCTTTTTATAAACATGCAGATGTCGCTAGAGTCAATATCAAAAAAGAAATTGATAAAGGAAGGATGGCTGGCCCATTTAAATCACGACCTATGGCAAATTTGCGAGTTTCGCCACTGGGAGTAGTGCCCAAGAAAGCGGAGGGGGAATTCAGGGTAATTCATCACCTCTCATACCCTACCAATAATTCCGTCAACGATTTTATTGACGAAGAGCTTTGTTCTGTCAATTACACAAAATTTGACGAGGCCATTAGCATGGTTCAACGTCTTGGGCGCGGATCTTACCTAGCCAAATCGGATATCAAAAGCGCTTTCAGATTAATGCCCATTTGGCCCGGTGATTTTGAACTTCTGGGTTTCAAGTTTGACGGCTGTTATTATTTTGACAAATGCCTCCCCTTTGGGTGTTCTATATCGTGCGCTACATTCGAAAAATTTTCCTCGTTTCTAGAGTGGCTTGTGCGCGAGCGAGCTTCTTCTAGAGAAGTCCTACACTATTTAGACGATTTCTTGTTCGGGGGTTATACGGCAGACGAGTGTCAAATGATAGTAGAAACTTTCATACAGGCCTGTCAAGAATTAGGGGTCCCAATAGCATGGGAAAAAAGCGAGGGTCCACAAGAGGTTATTACTTTTCTTGGGCTTGAAATTGATACGCAAGAAATGCAGGTCAGGTTGCCGGAAGAAAAGGTGAATGAAATCAGCATGATTATTGAAGGCATATTGAAGAAATCGAAAACGAACTTGAAAACCATGCAATCTCTATTGGGTTATCTAAATTTTGCCTGCAGAGCAATTCCTCCCGGTCGCACTTTCTGCAGGCGGCTGTCAAATGCAACACGTGGTTTGTCTCAACCCTATCATCATTTAAGAGTGACAAAAGAGATAAAAACGGTTTACTTGTATGGCTGGAATTTTTTGACAAATTTAACTGTTTTGTCGTATTCCAAGAAAAGTTTTGGGTATCTAACATAGATTTAGAACTTTTTTCAGATAGCTCGGCACGTCGAGGAAATGGTTTGGGAATTTATTTTAGCGGTGCATGGACCTACGGGGTATGGCCAGAGTTTTGGTTCAATAAGGGCTATACGAAGGATATCACTGTGTTGGAATTTTTTCCCTTGCTTGTTTCAGTAACTTTATGGGGGGAAAAGCTGCGAAACAAAAAAGTTTTATTTAGATCTGATAATCAATCAGTGGTACATATTGTGAATTCGATGACATCAAAATCAGAATTAGTAATGATCATGTTGCGCAAATTCGTTCTAAAATGCTTGCAGTTGAACATTTCATTTAAAGCGCAGCACGTCTCGGGCGTTCAGAATTCATTGACGGACAGTTTGTCACGTTTACAATTTCAGCGATTTCACAAGTTGGCTCCGGACGCAGACAGTCAGCCGACACCATTTCCAGAGGCACTTTGGACTATTTTCGAGACGAAATCACTCGATTGTTAGATGCAAGCATTTCAGCAAACACCAGGGCTGTATACTTACAAGCTTTAAAGAATTTTAAAGATTTCAGAATATTGACAAAACTACCTGATAAATGGCCAGTCCCTTCAAACCATATTCTGTTATTTATAGCATATCACTCAGGCAAGGGCTCAGCAGCTTCAACAGTTTCATCCTATATTTCGGGTATTAGCTATGTACACAAACTGAGACAATGGACCGACCCGGCAGAGTTATTCATAGTTAGGAAAGCTTTGGAAGGGTTGCGAAGATTAAATAGAACGAAAGACCACAGAGCACCTATTTCGGAGGAGCTTCTCGTTAAGATCTGTGGCGCTCTAAATCAAGTGTGTTATTCGGAATATGAAACATTCTTGTTTAGATCAGTTTTTACCTTGGCCTTTTACGGCCTATTTAGGGTAGGGGAGTTAGTGTATACCTCGGAGCATTGTGCCCATGTACCCTTAACTATTAAGGATATAAAATTTTGTACGTCAAAGAGCGTTACTTGCGCCTCTATTTCTGTAAGATTCTCTAAAACTGATCAAACAGGAAAAGGTATCAATATTTTATTACCGTCTATTCATCAAGGAAACATTTGCCCAGTAAATAACTTGAAAAAATTTCTTTCAGTGAGACCACGTGTTGAGGGTTCATTATTTGTGCATAGCAATAAATCCCCGCTAACTAGATATCAGTTTAACGCCGTCCTGAGAAAAACCCTTTCCAAAATTAATCACCCAATTTCTGCTTACAAATCACATTCGTTTAGAATTGGAGGTGCAACGTGCCTTGCCTTGAAAGGGGTATCACATGACAAAATCCAATTACTGGGACGCTGGAAATCAAGCGCATTCCTAAAGTATATCAGATTAGATATGATGTGAGCTTTGTAGATGAATTGTATTTACCATATTATTTATTGCTTCTTTAGAACACCATGTATGGATTGTGGGATCTTCAATTGTTTACTGGGCATGTAGATGGGCGGCTACAAATCTGACTACTAACTTACGCTTGGAAAATTTAGGCGTTCAGGTAACCTGGATTGGCAAAAGGGGCATGAAATGGGGGGATCTTATTGACTCGATGGAGCAAAAGTTAACAAAATGTCCTCCTCCCGCATATTTAATTATACACCTTGGGGGGAATGATATCACTTCAATTAAAAGCGAGGTGTTATGTACCAGAATAGAGCACGATATATGTTTAATGACAAACAGATTACCAAGTTGTAAAATGATATGGTCTGATATACTCCCGCGCCGGAAATGGATAGGGGGTCGTGACATATGTTCCGTCGAACGGAAGCGAAAACGAGTTAATAGAGCTGCTCGTAGGGCGGTCGCATCAGTAAACGGCAGTGTTATTAATCACCCTGATATAGAGTTTTCGGAGGAGGGGCTTTACCGCGCTGACGGAGTCCATATGTCTGACGTGGGAAATGCAATTATAACAAACACTTTTCAATCAGCCATAGAAGCTTTTATCTCCTCTTAAATTTTATTTGTTGGGTGGCAGAGATGTATAGACATCTCTGAGTGGCGGATATGTCAGACAAGCAGAGACATTTGTCATCATTATATTAATTATTGTTTATGTATGATTATCTATTTTACATGATTTGTAGAGCATGTTGTGGCTCGCTAAGGCTACCCTAGGAGCCAATACAAGCTTGCTATGGAGTGCACTAGGAGCTTGTGTGAGGGACCTGTTCGGTATAACAGTAACCTCCTACCCCGTTCGGTATAACGGGTGGTTATTTTTGCCCTACTCAGTATAGTGGGCTTACCTGTTCAGTATAACGGGTGGTCATCTTTGCCCTACTCAGTATAGTGGGCTTACCTGTTCAGTATAACAGGTGCCTCGCTAAGGAAGCCCCTAGGAGGCAATTACATATCCCAGCTGACTCGCTAAGGGGTACCCTAGGAGTCGATTTATACATATTGTTACGCCTTGCTATGGATTACCCTAGAAGGCGAGGTGCCATAACGCTCGTTATCAGTTTAGGTGTGTGGCACCCAATGATTGTTAAATGCTTGTCTGACATTTGTCATTGAAACAATTATTAAAGCTGTGGCCTTTATCATCCAAGAAACATGTTTTGTTATTTTTTCGGAAAAATATTCTATTAATTAAGTATTCTACTACAGTTACAATTGTGTTTAATCCTGTAAATTATACATGTCACAGAAGCAGGATAGATCATGATTTGAAGTACATGCTATTATATTCAATATTCTTTGACATACAAATCCATGTTCAAATTCATATATATTTAAGTATTTTGTGCTTAAAATAAAAGTCAATTATGTTTTACATATATTTGGAAAGAGTCTCATGTATATCATCGTAGTATATACTTGATAAATAGTGTATGGAACATTCTGAAGAGGGATGGTTTACCTCCCTTTACGGGATGGCCAGTGACCTCCTTCTTCCCATTATACTTACCTCTCAATATTTATTTCATCATCATAGTATATACTTGACGAAT